GGAAGAGGAGGAGGAGGAGGAGGAGGAGGAGGTGAAAGCGGAAAAGAATGAACGCGGACAGACCGCTATAACAAGCAAATCTGGCAAACCCATGCAAGCGGCCAGGCCGCTGTAGCAATATCGCAAACGCATGCAAGCGGACTGGCCGCTATAGGAAGAGGAGGAGGGGGGGGGAGGAGGAGGAGGAAGAAAAAGGAGCAGGAATGGACGGCAAGGGATCTCGCGCAGCCTCTGTCTCCTGCAAGGCCGCGCAAAGCTCGAGCGTTGCCGTCTCGAGCGGAACTCCGCTGGGCGCTGGCTAAACAGGGGCGTCTCCAACGCAAGACGCGAAGTGCTCCAATACGAACAGGCTCGCAGCAACTGAAGAAGGATGAAATTCTCGATGGTGAAATTCTCGACGGTGAGATTGCGATTGTGAGATTCTCGATGGTAATGAGAAGAAAAGAAAACGAGCCACTGCAGATGCCGCTCAGCCGCGACCGCCGAAGACCAGCCCCGACGAGTGCGCGTCGATGAGCTGCTGGATGGTCTCGTCGGCGTCGTTGAACGTCTGCAGCTCGTTCGAGAACGCGACCCTGGCGCCATCCAGGAAGCGCAACATCTGGCTCGGCCCTGCTGCACCGCTTGACGTCGTCCTGGAGCGCCTTGAGCTCGCCGAGGCTCATGGTCACCCTCGCGGCGTTGTCCACGATGGCACCACTGCCCTGATGCATGCGCGCCAACACGGCTGGTGACTTCGATGCCGTCCCTGGCGTTGCTGCTGAGGGCGCTGCAGATGAAGCCCCTGATGCGGCGAGCTTGGACGCCACCAACTCAGCGATCTGCTCCGTGTCGACGCCACTGCCAGAACGACCACGGCGAGCCCTCTTATTGTCGCGGTCCCTGTCGTCGTCGCGGCGGCCCCTGTCGTCGTCGTTGCGGCGGGCCTTGTCGCCGTACTGCTTGCGGTCGATGGCTTCTGCAGCCAGCCTCCTGTTTTCCTGCTTCTCCGCCTCTCATTTCATCCAGCGCCTGCACTCGTCGTCCCTCTTGTTGATGACGCGATAATCGACCTCGACCGCCTCCACGAACACCTTGAGCTCGCCGTCCGTCATGCCATCCAGATCGCTCTTGTGATTGTCGCTCCAGCGCAGGTGCATGAACAGCTTATCCCGCGCGTCCGCCTCGGAGACCCAGCTCTGGCACCTGTGAGAGCGCTTAACCCACTTATCCCGCGGGCAATTGTGGCTGAACGGGCACTCATGGAACCACCGCTGCGTGCACGTGTCGTCGTCGTCGACGCGATCGCTCGGCATCGCTCGCGCGCTGGCGGAGCCTCGAGCGGGGCCTCGCTCGAGAGGCGGGAAGCGGCGTGCCTCGCGAGGAGGCGGCAGCGGAGATCGCAGCTCAGCGCTCGATCCGAAACGCAAGGATGTGGCGCAACCAATGCGAGGCTACATGGCGATGGCAAGACGCAAAGCGGTCTTGCCGCTGTTTGGCAAGGGCAGGGTTTGCGGGAGAAGGAGGAGGCGCAAAGCGATCTGGCCGCTATTTCGGTGGAAGGGACGATGGAGGTGGACAGACGGGGAGGCAAAGCGCTCTGGCCGCTACATGGGTGGAGGAGGTGGCGCAGGAGAAGGGGGAGGTGCAAAGCGGTCTGGCCGCGATATGGTGGAGGAGATGGTGCAGGAGAAGGGTGAGAGGCAAAGCGATCTGGCCGCTACTTATACCTGATGAAGGACGATGGAGGTGGACGGACGAGGAAGAATAGGAAAAGCGGCCTGGCCGCTATGAAGAGGAGGTGTTGGGGCGAGGGGGAAGCATGGCAGCTGCACGGGAGCTTGGGGCAGATGCTGGAGAGCACGCTATTTTGGAACTCCGCGCGGGGCGCGGGGGTGCGCCCGATGCGAGGCGCGTCGGACATGGGCTTGCCGCTTATCGTATTCCCCCTCCCGCACTCCCTTCTCCTCGTCATCCTTATGGTGGCCCTCGTCTCCTTGCTCGTCCCCCTCCTCCTCCTCCTCGTTTCCTTGCTCGTCCTCTCCTCCTCGTCTTGCTCGTCCTCTCCCCCTCGTCCTCCTAGCGGTCGCGCCCGCTACTGCAGCGCTGAGCTGAGCGGTCGCATCCGCTAAGCGGTCGCTTCCGCCGCAAAGCTAAGCGGTCGCGCCCGCCATAAGCTAAGCGGTCGCGCCCGCTTCTCAAAGGAACGGCTTCATGGGTGCAGGCGGTTTGCCGAGCTGGTTGCTGCTGCTGGCCGCGGTGCTGCTGGCTTCCGCCTTTGCTGCTGGCGGCGGTGGCGAGACCGCCCTGGCGACGTGCAAGGCGTTCTGGTAGAATTGCCGCGCCCTCTCGAGCTCCTTCGGGCGCGGGTTCTGCGCCTTGAACGCAGCCACAGCCGCAGGGCCCTCATTCTGCGCGCGCTTCAGCAAGCGGTAGTAATCGCGATTGCGGCCACCGCTGATGCCGTACCGCTTCTTGCCGCCGTTGACCCCCGCCCTCCACGGCTCCCCGTTCGGCGATTTCCAGCCGTGGGGGCCAGGCTGCGCCTCCAGCGGCGGATGTGGAGGTGGCGCCGGCTGCTCCGGAGGCGGCGCTGGAGTTGCCGCTGGTGGGGCCGCTGGAGGCGGCGCTGGAGGCTGCAGCAGAGCCTGAGGCGGCGGCTACGCAGGTGGCGTCGGCTGCTTCGGAGGCGGCTGACGCGCCGCTGGAGGCGGCGCTGGAGTTGCCGCTGCAGGGGCCGCTGCCGATGGCGCCGCGATATAGGCTTTGTCGTCGGCGAAACCTCGGACTGCCACGCCGCCTTCGGCCAGAGCGGCATAGCTGCCGCAGGGGGCGGCGGTGGAGGGCCTGTTGCAGCTGCCGCTGGAGGCGGCGGTGGCGAAGCTGGCGGTGGCAGCGGCGGCGGCAGCGAGGTAGCCGATGTCCCCTGCGGCTTTGGCGCGCGACACTTTGAAGCAGGTTCCATGTGCTTCTGCGGCAGCTGCTCGGCGCCGAGCTTTGAAGAAGGATCCATCTTCTTCTTCTTGCGCACAGGGCTCTTCACCTGGCGGCTGCCAGGGCTGTCCAGGCCGCGATGCCGATCGAGCACTCGCGCCATGGCATCTCTGTGGCGAGTCGCGGCCTCCTTCGTGCTCGGGGGGGTCTGCCACGGCCGCGGAGTGTCCTGTCGTGCTGGCGCTGGTATTGGTGATGCTGCCGCTGATGCTGATTCATCGCCGCTGCTGCTGGTGCTTCGTGCTGCCGCTGCTGCTGGTGTTGCCGCTGCTGCTGCTTGGCCAGCATCTGCAGGAGCTTCTTCCTGGGGCACGGGAGGGGCTCGGAGTGGGACAATGCAGGGGGAGGTGAGCATGCAACTCAAAACAATCGACGACTAGCGTAAGCACATCGACGCTGTGTTGGTGTAGAAGGAAGCAGAGACAACAAATGCGGAGATATCCTCTCCAAGAAGAAAGGAGTGCACCGCCGCGTTCCCCATTTCGAGGAACGCCTCCATGGCGCCCGCTGCAGGGGGCCTCAGTGAGGCTCAGCGGAGCCTCGCAGGGGGGCGCGGCGCAGGCGGCCGCGCAAGCTGGAGGAGGAGGAGGAAGAAGAGGAGGAGGAGGGGGACGAGGAAGAGGAGGAGGAGAAGGAGGAGGGGAACGCGGAAACAATGAAAGCGGACAGACCGCTATAACAAGCAAATCTGGCAAACCCCAAGCGGCCAGGCCGCTGTAGCAATATTGGCGAACGCATGCAAGCAGACTGGCCGCTATAGAAAGCATCAAGCAAAGCGGTTAGGCCGCTGTAGCAAACGTGGGCATGCTGAGATGATGCAAGTTTGCGCGCAGATGCTCGTATACGGCCAGGGCTGCTGACGCGCAAACGCAGCGATGAAAGTCCGAGCTCTGGCGCGGTCACTTCGTCGAGAGAAACTCGTGGCCACTGGGCACGTCCACGTTGGCCTTGCTGCGCGCGTCTTTGCAGGTCTTGATGGCCTGCAGGCTGGCCCGCCTTCCTTCCCTGTGCGCTCCCCTGCGCCCCTCTGCATGCACTCCCCATGCTCCCCGACTCTCCCCTGCGCTCCCCTACTATCCCCTACTCGCACCTATCCTCCCCCTACTCTCCCCTACTCCCCCCTTTCTCCTGCTGCTGCTGCTCCTCCTCCTCTGCTGCTGCTGCCCCTCCTCCTCCTCACCCGCGAAGTCCCCCCCCCCCCCCCCTCAGATGGAAAGGCCTCCTTCTTTGTCGCCTGCTTCGTCTTCGTGGTGCACGGGGAGCTCATGGAAGCCTGCGTGTCTGCAAGGTCCATGAAGCGGACGAGGAAATTAGAACGCGTTGACTCGTCGTACACGCGCGGCAACTTCACGGAGCCAGCGGCCGCTGGCTTTGTCATAACGGGTTTTGCAGCCTTCTTGAGCTCAGGGGGTTCGCCATCTTCCTTCCTTGCCCACTTGCGGTCGGCCTTCTGCGAACCGTAAGCCTCTGTGATCCTTGCTGCTGCTTCGGCTACGGTCAGCTTGGGCTCGGAACCCGTCAGGGCGTTAACGGCAGGCGCCGCTGGTGCTGCTGGCCCGTCTGCGAACGGTGCTGCAGCTGCTGCTGCTGCTGCTGCTGCTGGTGCGTCTGCTTCTGGTGCTGCTGCGGACGCTGGTGCTGATGCGCTCTGTGCTGGCGATGCTGCTGCAAGCGCATTTGGCCCTTGGGGAGGCGTCAGCGCTGCAAGCGCACCTGGCGACGCGGCAGGCTGGGGTGATGCAGCAAGCGCTGCAGGGGCCGCTGCATGCTGCATTGCGGCGCTGGCCGCTTGAAAAAAGCTCGGACCTTGCGCTGTCCCGCTCGGCAGCCCTGTGAGAGATTGCTGCAACACCTGATGGGGCACCTGCTGGATCTGCGACTGCATCGGAAGCAGCGCCGGCATCATCGACGCAACCAACTGCGCGACCATCGCAGGCGGGGCGTCCTGGCTCGGCGGCAGTTGCTGATGCTGCTGCTGCTGCTGCTGATGCTGCAAAGAAGGCCAGCGTGGAGAACCTGCAGGACTCTGCTTCGAGACAGCTGGCTGCGCCCCGCGGATGCTCCACGAGGAGCTCGCAACGCTTGCGGGCCGATAAACGATGGCGCATCTTGGTAGTCTGCTTGAGGATGTTCCAGCCGGCGGGGTCGAGATCGAAACGCTTCGGCGGGAACGCGCTGTGCGCCCGCTGGTACGCAGTGGGATAGTCGTTCGCCAGGTCACTAGGCACCGTCGGCAACTTCATGATGACAGGATTGGGGGTCGTCCGCGTACGCGTGGCCACCCTCTCCGCGAATAGCGTGCCGACGGCCAGCACAGAGTCCGTCCTTTGCGCAACGTCCATCTGAAGTGCGCCGTCAAGACCCTTCCCTGCTTGCATGAGCAGGCAAGCCATCGTCTGCTTCGTGGGCTCTGAAGCTCTGCGGAGGCCGAGGTCGATCAGAAAGTCGAAGGGGGGGTTAGGGTCCCCTGTCGGCAGGGAATCCCAGATTGCCTGGGGCAAGAACTCGTGGAGCGACTCCCAGTCCTGAAGGCCAGCGACGCAACTGGCAGACTCGCCGTTGCTAGCCAGCTCCGAGATGCAGGTGTCGAGGGCTGCCTTGTCGGCGTCGGCGAACCGTGACTCCGCGATCGCCTGCGGAATCTGCTGAATGTCCTCTGGAGGCAACCTCGCCTTCTTGAGCTCCTTAACCACCTGCCCCGCTTGCGCGGCCGACACCGCGGCAACCTGCAGCGGGTCGCAGAGCGACTGCAGGGTGAAGTCGACTGCGGAGATGCGCCGCGCAATCGCAGGGGCGTCCACCCTGCGGCGCAACCGTCAGCGGCGACTTTAGCCGCTCTTGAGCCGTCGCGCTTCGCGGCTGCGCGCGTATGCTGCGGCGCGACGCTTGGATGGAGAGAGGCTGCGAAGCGGTCAGGCCGCTGATAAGAGGGGCCGTTCCTGGTTTTGCTCCTCCTCCTCCTGCCAGTTCCTCCTCCTCCTCCTCCTCCTCCTCCTCCACCTCCCCTTCATCCTTCCCCCCCTCATCTTCATATGCTGCGCGCAAGCAACAAGCGGGCGTGCCGCTGCGACGCCCAAAGCGACGCACAAGCTGCGTGAACCAAATAGTAAAGATTTAGCGGTCAGACCGCTGTTGCAAACAAGGGCGCATATACGCACGTTAGCGGTCAGGCCGCCGTAACAACTGAAGCGGCCAAGCCGCTGCAACGAGCAAGGGCGATATTGCGCGATATGGAACGTGAAACCAAATGCAAAGCGGCCTGGCCGCTGCGAAAGTCAGGGAAGAAGGAGAAGGGAAGGGGACAAACTGATACTATGCAAAGCGATCTGGCCGCTGTAGTATACATGGAGGAATAGAAGAGGAATGCAAGATCTGGCCGCTGTTGAATACATGGAGAAATCGAGGAGGAGTGCAAAGCGGCCTGGCCGCTGCAGAAACCATACAGGAATAAGGGAGGAAGAACGAGAAAATATGCGAAGCGGTCTGGCCGCTGTAGCAAGGTACGAGGCACATCATAGAGGAGGAAGAGGAGGTATCGAGCGGATGAAGAGCGGGATCCCCCCCGCGGCGGCTCGCGCGGCATGTGTCAGGATGTCAAGCTGCAGGTAGTAGAAGCCGACCAAGAAGAACACCTCCTCCTCCCTCCTCCTTCTCCTTCTTCTCCCTTGGAGCACAACGTTCTGGCGTCGGTCAGACAAGGGAAAAATAGCGAAAAAAATGAAAATAGTGAAAAAAATGGAAAATAGTGATAAATAATGAAAATAGTGAAAATAGTTGTTTTTTGAAAAAAATATAAAAAAGTGAAAAAAATGAAAATAATAGAAAATTAGTAAAGCCATACATATGTCTAGGGATTCCAAGTTCAGCTGATGATAGGACACTGTAAGCTCCTATAGATCCTATAGTGAAACGCAGGGGGGACTATCGGTGACTACACTATCGGCATTCCTATGGAACCTATTGGGCCTCCTAATCAATCCTAACTCATCTCAACCTCTCCTAAAATAGAACCACTTACCTATACTATAACCACATATAACTTCACACCCATCTAAGCATTTGCGAAACCGGAGAGGTGCCCACCAACAGGCGCGCCGCCTGCTCTGGCAACGCTGCCTGCAACGTAGCGGCCGCGCGCTGGAGGCCGGAGCCGGCGTCGTCTACGTCCCAGCGGCAGCGGGCGTCGACCCGGGCGCAAAGGTCCCTCGCGGCGGCGCGCGAAGCGAAGTACGCAGCCGCCGAGTGTCGCAGCGAGCTCCGGAGGCCCAGGCCTGCGTGGCGGAAGCCGAGCGTGGCCTGTAGCCACTCGTCCTCGGTCGGCTGGAAACCAAATACGTCGGCAAAGGCATCGCGGATCGAGCTGTCGAAGGCGGCGAGGGGAGCAGCCGCTGCCGCAGGGTCGACGGTGCGCGCTGCGTACACCATCTTGCAGAAGCTAGCGCACTGCCGCAAGAGCCGGTAGCCGACCTGCGGGTCAGGTAGTTCGGACACAGCTTGCGCGGCGATTCCGGCAGCAGCAGCCCGCCTGGCGAGCTCCGCGCTGCAGTGGCCCGCCGAACCAATCGGGGCCCCCAGGAGCTCGAAATCGCCAGACAAGCTTACCCTGCTCTCGCCAGTCTCCTCGCCACGCAGGAGCGCCAGCGGGAAGCGCGCCGCCGCCTCTGCTGACAGCGTCCCCGATGGGACGATCAGCTCGCTCTTGCCGAGGTGGAGGTGGAGGCCGATCCGGGGCCCGAGCGTCATGAGGACCCTCAGTGCCTCGGCCACAGCGACGGCGCTGCCGCCGATAACGCCGTCGTCGAGGTAGCAGAGCGCCAGGCTGAGCCCCCCGGCCTCCCTTCTGCTCGCCAACTCGGCAGCGAGCGGGTGTAGGGCGAGAGCGAACAGCAGCGGGCCCAAGGGGTCGCCCTGCTGCACGCCGCTCTGGGAGGAGACCTGCCAGCGTCCGAACTGCAGCGTGCTGTGGTCGCCGTAGCACCAGTGACACCATCTGGAGAAATCGGGGAAATGCTGTCTGGTTTGTCGCAGTACCTCCGCCCGGCTCACGGTGTTGAACGCGCTGGCGAAGTCGAGTTTCAGCAACACGTCGTCGGCGCGCTCCTTGTGCCTCTCGGCCCAGTGGCGCACCGTGTGGACAGCGCACTCGCAGCCGAGAGGGCTCGCCACGCCTGTTTGCACTGGCCAGAAGTACTCCTGGGCTCGGTCTTTCACCACCTGGGCGAGCGTCTTCGCCGTGAGGCGGCGCAACACCTCCCCGACGGCGATGGGCCGGACGCCCCCGCTCTTCTTTTCGGAAGCCAGCAGAGTCGCGCCGCCCAGCAACGGGGCTACCTGCCCAGGCGCCCGGCCGCCGGCCAGCATTTGCACCACTTCTGTCAGGAGCTCCGTCAAGGTAGAAGCGTGCGCCCGCGTGCGGACGTCGCGCAGGTGCTGCGCCCGGAGAGCTGGCGGCCCGGCGCCGCTGCCTTTTGGGAACGACTTGAGGGCCTCGGCCACTTGGTCACTGGTCAGGCGGGGGGCCGGCGGTAGGCCGGCTGGCGGCCCAGGCGGGGGTGGCGGTTCAGTCGGGTGGAGCGCCTCCAGCTTGCGGCGGGCCTCTGCGGTCGGATCCACCAGCGGCTCGGACATCAGAGCTGCCACAGCCTTCCTGTCCAGCCCTTCGCGGGCCAAGGCGTCTGCCCTCCGCTGCCTGGCTTCCGTCGAATTGTCAGGTTTCCACCTCTGCGGCTCGGCGAGGTCTGCCCAGAGTTCGGCGCGCTCGCCGTGCTCCCACCGAGCCAAGCGGTCGGCTGTGAAAGCGGCAGCTGCCCGGGCGTGTGCTCGTCCGCGCCGCGGCGGGGCGGCGAGCACGCACTTGGGGAGCATTTGCAGCTCCGTCCAGGCTTCCACGGAGTTGGTGTGGACCACCTGCGCGAGGCACCGTGTCAGCGCCGGAGCCCATGCCCCACGGCACTCCTTGGGCACGTGCTTCAGCGTCGGCACCGCGCGGCTGTGGATCTCCGCCAGGGTGGGCATGCCTGGGGGTGCTGCCTGCGTAGGCGGTGCCCCTGGCGACTGCGCCCGAGCCTGCTGTCGCTCGAGCGGGCGGCACGTCGGATGGATGCCGCCGCGGAGGGTTGAGACGCAGAGCCCGCACACGCGGCAGCGCGTGCGACGGTTCGCCTGAAGCCACTCCTCGGGCACTTCACCGCGCAACTGTCCGGAGAGGTGCGCGTTGATGTGCGGGATCGCGGCGCCAGTTGTCGCCCATCCTCGGTGGCCCTGGCCAGGCCCGCACCCGCAGCCCTCCACCGGGCAGTGGACGCGACCGTCCCCGCGATCCCTGCGACCACTCCTGCTCCTCCTCCTCCCCCTTGCGCCGCGCCTCCTCGGCGTGCTCATGGGCACGTCCAGCGATGGAGCCTCAATTGGAGGCGGGGCCCCCACAGCGTTAGGCGGCTCTGGGTCTCCCGCCTGGCTCAGCGCTGGCCGGAGGTTCCGGCGGGGCGTGCGGGGGGACAGAGCAGATGCGCGCCCGCGACTGCGGCGCGGAGATCCGGGAGCACTCGCGGGGCCCTCCCCCGGGTAGCCCAGCGTGGCGTCGAAGTCCAAGAGCCGCCACGAGGCTGCCCAGGCGCCGGACGCCGATCCGAGGCAGAAGAACTGCACGGAGACCAACACACACCTGGGGCTGACGTGCGTGGCGACAGTGGCCCGGACTTCCCTAAGACGCGGCGAAACTCATGCCGACGCCTAGGAGTGCAGAGACCGAGAGCAGCCCGCACAGTGTGAGGACTGCGCGGAGGGGCCGAACCCATGGAAGCGCTCTCGGGACGGCGGGCCGAGGAGCTGCTCTCGCGTCGTCTCGGTCGCGCCGCAACGCCTCCAGCACCGAGCGCACCTCCCGCGAGATCTCAGGCTGAAAGCTGTGGGACTCGAGCGCGCTGGCGTGCCACCCCCGGCGTGAGAAGAGGCACGTTGGCAAGGTAGAACTGCCTCTGACCATATTTACGTGCAGGCTGCGCCTCCACCATGACATGCATGCGCTCGTTCAGCCAAAACTCGTGCCTCCAGGCTGCAAGGCGCCGGAGCTGACGACGCCGAGTGAGCGAACTGGAGCACGCGTTCGATGGGGCTGCGTCCGCATGCAGCCGCCAGAGCCCGGCCTGCGCCCTGCCCGGGGCAGGTCGCTGGCAGCGAGCGCCCGGATGCAGCTTGCGATGGCTACCCAGCATCGCGGCAGCCGCAGCAGAGGCGCCATGCGGGGGGAGAGAGAGAGGGGCGGGGGGAGGTCTGGTTGCAGCTTGAGCCAGTCTGGAAGTCTTGAGCCGGCCGGAGGAAAGAGGAGGAAGGAGAAGGAGGAGGAGGAGGAGGAGAAGGAGGAGGAGGAGGAGAAGAAAGGAGGAGGAGGAGGAACAATGAGAAGAAGGACTCAGACAAGCAAGGAGGGAGCGCGCCTGTCTGACCTCGGCGAGAACCGAGGCGGGGGCTGCGACGGCGGCCGTGAAGGCGATCATGATGGAGGTCCGCGCCCGCATGGCTGCCGGGAGTTGTGCGAAGTATCGAAGCGGCAACGTCAAGGGGGGGCCAGCGCAGGGTGGGAACCGTCGAGCTGGAACCGGCGATACAGTCGGGGCGTTGACCTGAGGAACCCTGAGTGAGGAACGAGGCCCCTTTTTCCCATACGTCAAACTTCGATTTCCCGTGGGAAACCTAAGGAACACCCAAGGCGAACTATGAAACAATCAAGGAAGACCGAGCCCCTCCCCAACGAAAAGGGTTCCTTCTTCAGCACCCCGACTGTACGTCGGCCCCCGATGGCGGATCCACACGGCTCCGGGCGGGGGGGGGCACCAAGGCCCCAATCGCCGATCCCTGGGCGACTGGTGGTCGTGCCGTCCTCCCCCGCAGCCGATCCCACCCGAACGTTGCCCCTGAGAAGATGTCCTGTCCGATCTGTGTGCGTAGGCCTTGGTTTGGGAGAGGATGGGATTCGCTCTCCAACCTTGAGGCGCGGCGGCCGCGGAGGAGGAGGCGAGCGGCGCCCGAGGGAGGCGGTGGGACCGAGGAGCGGCGTGATGGCGGCGGAGATGGCGGACGATGGTGATCGCGACGGCTACGGAGTCCGCCCCGGTCCCCCGCGGGCAGCACGCGGAGGCGCGGCCGATTGCCAAGTGCTGCCCGGCATGTCGTCTGCAGATCTTTTGGGCCCCCCCGCCTCTCCTCACTCCCGGCCGCGTGCCCCACCGTCCCCCATCCCGAGGCTCCCGCCTCTTCCTCTCCTTTCCCTCCTCCTCCTCCTCCTCCGCCTCCTCCTCATGCTTCTCCTCCTCCCTCCGATATAACGCTCGCTCTCTCTCTCTCTTTCTCTCTCTCTCTCTCTCTCTCTCTCTTTCTCTCTCTACATCTACAATTATACATCTCTGGACTTACATACGTAAACCTGTGCACCTATATATATATATACACATATAAATGAATATGTATATTTGTATATATATATATATATATATATCAGAATCACGCGCGCAACGCGCGCGCGCTACGCGCGCGCCCAGGTTCTAGCAGGCTGCGCAGTCGTTGTCAGTAGACGTTGTGCCAATCCACGAACCCCAGGATACCCAGGGAGAGGTTCCACAGGCAAAGGCCAGGCAACCCTTGGCGCGTGGAGGTGCTGGGCATTCTGGGGGATAAATTAGGGTTCGGTGGGCGGTCGCAAAGCCGTGCGAGATCGACACGCGACGCGTCGGAAGGCTCCGAGTATTTCCCAGGCTGCGCAAGTACTGTGACTACCACGGTGGCCGAGGAGGGCCCCAGAGGCTTCGGGCCGCCAGGTCGTCGCCGCCGCAGTCCAGATGATCGTCGCGGTGATCGTCGTAGTGGTCGTCGTGGTGGTCTGTGGACACGATCGGACGATTGCCCGTTCTGGGGCGTGTTTTGATTTTGCCAGGCCTCAGAGGCCCTCCGGACTCTGGAGATCTGTGGGGCCTCCAGGGCTTCCAGCGGACTCCTGGGGCTCTCCTGAAAATCACACAGGCCCCCAAGGAAGCTCTAGAGGACAGCCTTGGAGGGCCCACAGGGGCGCCAAGCAAGCGACCTGAGCGGTCCCAAAGCCCCAACAGGTACACATCATTCAACACAATGCCATCCTTAACGATGAAGCGTTGTATGTATTATTGTGTGTGCGTGCGCGTGCGCATGTGTGTGTGTGTCCGTGTGAGTGTGTGGATATGGGTGTGGGTGTGGGTGTGCGTGTGCGTGTGCGTTTCCGTGTGCGTGTGCGTGTGCGTGTGCGTGTGCGTGTGCGCGTGCGCGTGCGCATGCGCGTGCGCGTGCGCGTGTGCGTGTGCGTGTGCGTGTGCGAGTGTGTGTAGTGTGTGTGTGTGTATGTGTGCGTGTGTGTGAGCATGGTTGTGGGTGTGGGTTTGCGTGTGCGTGTGCATGCGCGTTTGCGTGTGCGTGTGCGTGTGCGTGTGCGTGTGCGTGCACGTGTGCGTGTGCGTGTGCGTGTGCGTGTGCGTGTGCGCGTGCGCGTGCGCATGCGCGTGCGCGTGCGCGTGCGCGTGCGTGTGTGGGTGTGGGTGTGCGTGTGCGTGTAAGCGTGCGAGTGCGCGTTCGCGTGCGCGTAAGCGTGTAAGCGTGTAAGCGTGTAAGCGTGTAAGCGTGTACGCGTGTACGCGTGTGAGCGTGTAAGCGTGTACGCATATAAGCATGTGCGCGTGTGCGCGTGTGCGCGTGTGCGCGTGTGCGCGTGTGCGCGTGTGCGCGTGTGCGCGTGTGCTCGTGTGCTCGTGTAAGCGTGTAAACGTGTAAGCGTGTAAGCGTTTAAGCGTGTAAGCTTGTAAGCGTGTAAGCGTGTAAGCGTGTGATCGTGTAAGCGTGTAAGCGTGTAATCGTGTAAGCGTGTAAGCGTGCAAGCGTGCAAGCGTGCAAGCGTGCAAGCGTGCAAGCGTGCAAGCGTGCAAGCGTGCAAGCGTGCACGAGTGCAAGCGTGCAAGAGCGCACGTGTGCAATTGTGCAATTGTGCAATTGTGCAAGCGTGCAAGCGTGCAAGCGTGCAAGCGTGCAAGCGTGCAAGCATGTAAGCGTGCAAGCGTGCAAGCGTGCAAGTGTGCAAGCGTGCAAGCGCGTGCGCGTGCGCGTGACCGTGCGCGTGCGCGCGGGTGTGTGTGTGTGTGTGTTCTGTGTGTTCTGTGTGTGTTTTGTGTGTGTGTGTGTCTGTGTGTGTGCGCGCGTGTGTGTGTGTGTGCGCGGGTGTGCGGGTGTGCGGGTGTGCGTGCGTGCGTGCGTGCGTGCGTGCGTGCGTGTGTGTGTATTTGTGTATGTGTGTGTGGGTTGGCGTGTGAGTGTGCGTGTGCGTGTGTGCGTGCGCGTGCGCGCGCGTGTGCGTGTGCGTGCGTATGCGTATGCGTGTGCGGGGTTTGCGCTTGGGTGTGCGTGTTCGTGTGCGCGTGTGCGTGTGTGTGTGCGTGTGACTGTGCGTCTGTGTGTCCGTGTGTCTGTGTGCCTGTGTGTCTGTGTGCCTGTGTGTCTATGTGTCTGTGTGCCTGTGTGTCTGTGTGTCTGTGTGTCTGTGTGTCTGTGTGTCTGTGTGTCTGTGCGTCTGTGTGTGAATGTGTGAATGCGTGAATGCGTGAATGTGTGAATACGTATGTGTTTGAATTTTTTACTAAATTGGGGCTCTCTTGGGGCCATCTCGGGGCCCTCTTAGCGAGTTTTTGGCGCGTCTAGGGCCGTCTTGGGATTCTCTTGGGCCCTCTTGGGGCCTTCTTGGGGACCACTTGGCACGTCTCGGGGCGGTCTTGGGGGCCTGCTGGAACGTCGTGGGGCGCCGGAAGCACGAAAAGTCGAGACCTTCGAACCCCCCTTCAAACAAAAATCAAGATAAATCCTTGGTGTTTGCCTCATGCGGCCCTCGGGGGAGCGCTCATCGAGTCCTCTTGGATCATCCAGGGGCAGCTCGGGACGAAAGGCTCGGGGCATTGCTTCGGACGCAAGCGCTGGGCCGCCCCTCTCGGGACCGTCTTGGGGCGTCTTGGGCGCTGCTGGGGCCGCTTGGGGCCCCCTTGGGCGGTATTTGGGCCCTCTTGGGGGCCTCTCGGCCGGTCTCGGGGCGGTCCTGGGGGCCTCTGAGGACATCGTGGAGCGCCGCAAGCTGGAAGGCTCGAGCGCCCCCAGAGCATTGAAACACCCATGAGGAATTCATGTTTTTTGCCTCTTGGGCCCTCTGGGGAGCGCTCGTCGAGTGCTCTTGGGCCGCCGAGGGGTATCTCGGGACGAAAGGCTAGAATTAACCTTCAGGCTCCAGCTCTTGGGCCCCCCTTGGGGCCGTCTTGGGGCACTCTTAGGCCGTCTTGATCCCCTTTTAGGCCGTCTTGGGACCCTCTTGGCCCGTCTTGGGGCCCTCTTGGGCCGTCTTGGGGCCGTCTTGGGGCCGTCTTGGAACGTCGTGGAGCGTCGGAAGCTCGAAAGTCGAGAACCCCCAAAAAAGTAGACAAAACATATAGGGAATCAATGTATTGTGTCTCTTGGGGCCATCTGGGGAGCGCTCGACGAACTTTCTTGCGCCGTCTTGAGCTCTGTGACCGTCCGGAAGCCATGCAGGGCACCTGGAAGCCTTCTGGTGTCACGTTGATACCACTTGAGGCCGTCTGGTTGATTCTCGGACCGCTGGGAAGGGTCCCCAGGGAGCCCAGCGTCCCCATGGCCACCAGGACGCTGAGAGAAAGCCCCCGACCCTGTCCCCTGTATGTATGCTTGCATGCATGCATGCATGCATGCATGCATGTATGTATGTATGTATGTGTGTATATGTTGGTATGTGTATGTTTGTCTAAGTATGAATACGCATGTGTATGTCCGTAGTATGTATGTATGTGTGGATGCATGTTTGTATGTATGTATGTATATATGGATGCATGGTTGTTTGTATGTGTGTATGGATGTATGGATGGGTGTACGTATGTATGCATGCGTGTATGGATGGATGTATGTATGCATGCATGTAACTATGTGTATGTATGTATGCATATGTGTTTGTACGCATGTAATTACGTATGTGCGTATGTGTGTGTACGCATGTATGTGTGTAAGTAAGTATGTATGTATGTATGTATGTATGTTTGTATGTAGGTATGTATGTATGTATGCATGCATGCATGTATGTATGTATGTATGTATTTATGTGCACATATGCATACAAGTATGCATGTATGTATGTGTGTATGCGTGAATGGTTATGCATGTGTGTGCATGTGTGTATGTATGTGTGTACGTACGTACGCACGCACGTACGTGTGTATGTATACATGCATGACTGCATGCATGCATGCATGTATGTATGTATGTATGTATGCCTGCATGTATGTATGCATGCACATGTGTATGTATGCATGCATGTACGCATGTGTGTCTGTCTGTCTGTCTGTAGATATGTCTGTCTGTATAAATGTATGTAAGTAAGTAAGTAATTAAGTACGTAAGTAGGTAAGTAAGTAAACAAGTAAGTAAATATGCATGTATGTGTGTATGTACGTAT